ACTGATGTGGTGTATAACAAACGACACAAGCGAGCATACAAAAAGCCACGAGATATATAATATACTACATCCACGCCATACTGATTGACTTGCCATTTTTTTTTCCACATTTTGTATTACATTTTTATCATATCATCTGTTTAGTATTAATATGTATGCTTACCAAAAGATACACGAAGGAATATGTATATTTTTATACCCATGAGAATTTGCTTAACTATAGGATTAAAAAGGAAAACCCTTATACTTTATACTAATCAATATGACTTTGCATACTTAAATATACTACTACTATACTACTTACTAAAACTACTATATACTCTCTCTAACACTGGTGGTGGTATTTTTTTACTTTTTGTTGTGTGTGTTGCGTTGCTGCTGCTGTGCCGGCTCTGTCTGTCTGATAATATAGAGCAAGGAGGCCGGCATCCGCACTCTGGTCGCACTCGACGACCAGGGAGGTGAGTTTTCAAATCCGCTAAAAATTCCATTTTTTCACCTTTTTTTCCCCCCTCAAGCAATTTTTTATATTCGAACATTCAATCTCTCTTTCTATTGTTAATGTCTCTATTTTTTAATATTTTTTTTAATACATACACCTTCCGTTCCCCTTTTTTATCTTTATATTTGTATACTTGTATTTTTACATTATTCTTCTGGATTACATGCAACTGCATTGCTCAGAACGTTTATGGCGTTATTTTATTTGTAGTCTTCTTGCAGAGCTTTTTCTTCTTTTTTTTTTTTTTTTTTTTCGTTTATCGAAAGTATTCACTGCTATCTCTCGCACTTTTTTATCAAGCCCTCTGTCTTTTACACACGTTTTTCTTTCCAACTTGTTTGTTATGTTTTCCGTTTTTGTTACTTTTTCTCTTCTTTTCGATGTCGTTGATTCGTTACATGTGTTCCCCTTTAACTTGGTGGTGTTGATATTACCTTTTTTTTTTTTTTTTTTCAAGTTGTGTGGGTTTGGAATACGATAAGATAACTCGAGTTGAGAGAAATGGGAGGAAACTATAAACATTAAATAATTTACGGAGATATTTCAAAAAGTTTCTCATCCACAAGGGGACTATCACCACAATGGTATTTTCCGTTTTTTGTTGTTCTGATTGATCTGTGCATGTTACTGTGTAATAATTTGACTAAGACTCATGAGATCCAGTTAGTTAGAGTTGATTTCGTCCCAAGCCTCTCAACTTGGTAAGTGTTGCACAAAAAAAATTATAGCCGAGCCAAAATTTAAAAGGCTACACGTAGAGAAATGGAATTTCGCTTATAAGCTTTTTTTTTTTTTTTTTTCTCAAGTACTTGTAGTTATGTACTCGCACGCCTGCCGCTAGTTTGCGGTTTGGTTGGTTGATAAGGTGTTGGTTAGCGTCGTCTTTCAACTTTCACGTACGATAACTTTCAAGAGCAACTTTTAATTATTACTATTTATATACTTTGACACTTGCAACTAATAATATTAATGATAATCCTCAAAATGCCCGATTAAATGAAACACTCATAAACAACAAAAATAATATCTGAGCCCTTCTTAGTGCGTTAATTTTAGTTTGTACTCCATGTATACTGTGGTAAATGAACTCTACATTATACTACATATGTGACTCTATACTATGTCATGTGACAAACTTTATTTTTCTAATACTTTGGTACAAGCACGTACGTACAGGAAAAGGTCGGGTCGTTTTGTTCACTGAGCAAATAATCCTCGTTACCTTTGTATCCTTACATGTTACAGTGATTTTACAAATTCGACAAACCAATATGAGATAATGATGAAAAAAAGAACACGCAGAGATGATACTCGCAGTGCAGTCAAGAGTTAAAGAATATGTTACCAGAACAATGGACAACATTCAAACTATTTTTTTTAAACAATTTCTCTTTACTTAAAATTATACTTTTATCAACACTTCCCAATACTACTTTTGTGAGCTATTAAAATGTACCTTTTTACACAGAACTGCCTATTTATTTATTTAATTATTTATTTTTTTACTTACACCACAAACAGGCTACTATCGCTGAAAGAAAAAAATTTGTCAGGAAATTTTTTTTTTTAATCTTTATTTCTAACTTTATCCTTCTATCTCTTATGTATATACACATTACTTTTTCCTCTCAATTGCGTGTGTGCCAAAAAAAGGAGAGGGAAAACAGGAAGGAAAAAATTGTTAATAACAAAAAAACGAGGGGCCTTGCAGTCCTATGGATTTAATTCTCAACTAAACTAAATTAAACTAAACTAAACTAAAAAAAAAAAAAATGAGACTGTGTACATATTGCACTATGCTTTGCGCTTGACGCGGATTACCGGTGATTTTTCACATTTTTTTACCACATTTTTTAGAACTAGCCACATGAAACTTATTCACTTAATTTTTATAATGTTCACGTTTTTTTACAAATTTCTTAGAGGCACAGTTTGTGAACGTTGTAAATTATTTTTCATCAATGCGTGTTTTTCACATGAATCACCAAGTGTACATTGGAAAATTGTTTGTTGAAAAATAAAACAAATCAATTTTTTCTTATTTTTTATAAAAATGTATAGTCACTTAAAATCCATCTATTACTTTTTTATAATCATTCAAATACTTTTTAAAAAGTCATTAATTTATCTACTATTCGTAATTTATAGATCAAGTATGAAATTAGTTTTTAATAACTAGTTTACCAAAAATTAGTCATCTTTAGTTGAATGCAACCTTAGTATGGAATGCCTATGCTCCTATATGGAACAAAGAATAGTTTCATTTTTTATACTTAACAAACCAAAACAATTTTTTAACTGATGTTCTGAATATTACTGCTAAAATAATTTTCCAAAAGCAACGCTTACATAATATTTTCTGTTTTGTTTTGTCTTTAAGTACAACACTCTTTGTTTTGTTTTTAGTTGAAGCGCATACATTACAGTCATAAGATATATATTATATAATATACATATACCCTGTACATATACATAGCCTTACCAAAAAGCTTCTAGCTGTGTCGCTTTTAATTTACGTACATATATATATATAACCTCATTTATATATATATACATACTCTATATACATAGTGTAAATTCGTATTTATAAACGTAATTGTTGCCTATATCTGTCTTAGCAGTAGCTGTCTGTCCGAACTTACATTGATTATACAACATGTATACTCCATTTATGCAGACATAATCTCAAAATAGATCTAAAGAAAAACATTTTTTTTCACCTCCCTCTTCACCACGTACAATTTATAGTTTCTCCGCAAAGTAAGTTTATTTTATCGATTAGATACTTACATGAATCCTTTTTTCTTTCCCCCGTAATTGTATGCAAACGCTGCTGCTTATCCCAAAACTCTTACCACTTAGTTTACAATATTTCATTGATTATACCACTGTGTATCCGTCATTAAAATTTCCTTATCTCCTTTTTATAGTCCCCTGCATTTATTATTAGCACTTTGTATACTATCCACGTCATATTCGCGTATTTTTTTTTACTTCAGTTTTGCATCATCGCCTACAAGCGGCAAGTTTCTTTTTTTATTTGCGTTAGATATATCTCACATTACGTCAACGGCTGCAATCATCGCAATCTCAACCTTGCAACGAGTGAGCAATACGAATTTTCAAGACTATCGTGTCCTTTTAGGACATTTTTGTTTATGAAACGTGGTTTTGTTGATATTTTCTGGTTCATTAAAATTCATTCAGAATCCGGTAAATGATCTTGACAAAATATGTAGTATGTCATACATATTTTTGTATTAAAATCACAAAATCGAATAATAAAGTAATACATCTGTCATATTAACAAACGAGATCGTATAACTTGCGTTAGTTCGATTACGAAGACCAAGGAGTAATATATCTAAACAAAAAATTTTTCTCGCGGAAAATCAGGGCAAGAATCCACTTAAGCGTTACACTTTGGCGGAGTATAAAAGAAATTTCTCTCTCTTGGCTATGTAACACTGGAAAAAAAAGGAAAAAATTATCCTCTCCCCTGTGAAAGAAAAATTGAAAGTACCAATCCTTCGCTTGATACTTTTATTATTTAATCAGGTACGCCAAGAAATTTTTTATTTCCGCGCACCAGTGGAATTTCTGGAGAAAAAATGGAGCCCGAAATAAGATGATGTAACTACATACCTTCGGTACAGGAGTAAAGGTCCGATTTTCTTGTGCAGTGTTGCGTTGTAATTTTGTTAATCCTCGCGTTGCTACTGACACGCTATGTGCTTGTCCGATGCATATCTTACGTGTACTACAATCGTCGAAACGGCGCGATTCCGAGCGATTTAGGCATCATTTGCCGCTTGCCCCGTCAAATACCATTGGATTTATTTTTCCTTCCGATTTTAAGCTTATTTTTAAGTTTAACCAGCTGGAAATAATGCGAAATTGTTGGAAATTGCGCGGTTGGTACTATTCACAATTGCCGTGCCTTGGCTTACGAACTTTGAGCGAAGGTCGAAACACAAGTCGGTTAAATCGACATGTCGATAATAATCCATTTGATCGAAAAATTACGAAAACTACAAGTTATAGCGATTATTTCAACTTCCGCTTTTTGATGTCTTTTGTAATGTTGTTAAGACGTGTCCATTATCGCGGTGGTAATTTCAATTTTTATTTTTATTTTTAATCACCATTAACAAACATAATGATTTTATTCATTTACGGTCATTGAAGTAAGCGACCTTGTTACCGTAATTGAAAATTGCATATGCGTTTAGTTGCATCTGTTGAAGATTTCGCATTTTTTATCACCGCAGTAATTACGAAATCTCAGCTTGCACAGTTATTACGTATTTTCTTCCGAAATAAGGTACCACTAATTTTTTCCCACGTAATAACAATTGATGCTAGTGCTATTTTTTTATATTAAAAAAAATGAACTACAACACGTATCCTATTTCCCTCGTTATTGTACTCAGAATGAGCTGAATTAAAAATTGCCATCGGATTTTTTTAATCGCGTGAAAAATGTTCTTTCTTGTAGAGCGAGGAGCTTGGAGCGAATACCTTAATGATGCTAGATCATCAAGGGGGTAAGCAAAGAAATATACATAATAAATAAGTTTGTGCCGTATTGCAGTTGACAAAACTGCGTAACTGCTTCGACTAATCCAATTAACTTGTCTTTTTTTTTTTTAAATTTATTTATCTATTTTTTTTTTTTTTTACTAACAAATGTCAATGTGCAAAATGGTATACGAGAAGACTAACATAAAAAATTAACCAAACTAACTCCATGTCCTCGCTCGGGTTTGTGCAGTGCAGAGAAGATACAGAGTTATAAAAGTTACTCATCATTATGCCGGACGATAACTCGCGAAGAAATTTTCGCGACATTGCGCAAACTCCGCAGGGAAAAGCTCTCGCGCGAAACGTACACACCTCTGTATCATAATGTATAGCTTCTGTATAGCAAGCAAAACTAGCGTATACCGCATATATTATACATGTATATATACACATGTAGTTATATAATAGCTTTAAAGGAATAAACGCAGAACCTTGGGCGTGTCTACCAAAGTGCCATCCTATAGCCAATCCTGTCGTTGCCATCAGTAGTGCATACCTAAGCATAATCAGCCGCATCTCATCCATACATACCATACATATAGCTACTCTAGAGCTCTCCATGCATCAGTTAATGTAGCATATCGACATGTAAGATATTTTGTAGTAGTACTTGAACGATTCGCAAGGGAAATTATTACGTATTATATATCATGGCCCTCTTTTTTTTTTTTTTTTTTCACTCCAAAGTAACTTTTATTTTCACCCCATGAAAGGGTACCTTCTTAAAAGGGATGTGATGAAAAATAAAAAAATAAAACGATTTATTCCCAAACTGCTCNATTACTGGAGAGAAAAAAAAAAAGTAATATATTACACAACATTAATTTTCATAAATTGTCGCAAGTTTACCTTGATTATCTTCCTTCTCTACCCACATCTATTTTTTTTTTTTTTTTTTTCTTTTTATTAATAAAAAAAATGGAACTGTTTTTTTTTTTTTTCACTCCAAAGTAACTTTTATTTTCACCCCATGAAAGGGTACCTTCTTAAAAGGGATGTGATGAAAAATAAAAAAATAAAACGATTTATTCCCAAACTGCTCTCCTCAAAGCTACCTTCGACGCATACCCCCTCGAAATTTGCGGGTGTCTCGTACATATTGCCGACAGAAATGATGCACGTAAAAACTCGATGTGGTATACGCCGTGGGGGTGTAAGAATTTAAAATTACTGCGAAATCCCGTGTGCTCGCACGATGCCAACAACAGAAGGACGATATTATCTACTGCATGACTTTACGAGGAGTTCCATCTCCCGGCACGTGTGCGCTTACATGCACGTCGTACGCGCGAGTGTCAAACTTGACCTGGATAAGGTGAATAAAAAAATGTATCATTTTGAGGAAAAAAAAAAAAAAAAAAGGAGATGAGTTTGAAAAAGTCTGAAAGTGCTACCGGATTTTTTAGTGCCGTGCATTTAGACGACAAAAGCTTTGATACATATATACGAAAATCAGCATCTAATGTATGCATGTGTGCAATCATACATATAATATATACCTACTCATATTGCTTTCGTAATACGTGCATACGTACATGTATATTATGTGGGTGCACTCAGAATTTATAGCACAGTAATACAGTATACATGCAAGGTATATCTGATGCCTTCTGATTTGGCACTCGGTGGGAGCACACACACACAATACGTAACTGTATATAAAAGAGCTTCGAATCTCTTTGTAAGCCAAGATGAAACATCTCCCTTTCCGCGCGTTATATACATGTGCATATACACCCAATTCCTCCCTCGTCAGTCCAAAGCCTCTCTTTCTCTGTGCCTATATATACCTATCTCGTCCCATTTCTCCAGTCCTTGCAATTTTTGCCCCCCCCCCTCCCCCCCGGTTCTCTATACGTACTGCACCCATAAAATTATATACTGATCACCACCGCTACCGTACGTATACGTATCTTTATTTTAAATATCTCATGTACAAAGGGTATAAATACACGGCTACATTAAATTTGTTCTCATAATATTATTATTATTATTATTAACCGTTTGACGCTGTCACTCTTGCCACCACCGCTACTTCGAAGCTGCGTATATATTTGTATTTTTATATTATTAGCGTGCGTTTGTTATTATTGTTATGATTATTATTATTTTTTATCTTCCTCGTACCATTGCGCTAATAATATAGCATATAGATGTCACGTAAGAATAAATCCATACGTGTAGTATATAATATTAATCACTCATTTAGATCCATCACTATTTTAGTTTATCACAAAAAAAAAAAAAAAGAAATCATGGTTCCATGATATCGAGAATAAAATCCAAAAATCGACCCCAGTACATAAGTAAGCCATGTCATGTTAATACTGCTGTACATGATGGTAAATTTAATGAAAATTAAAAAGTTAAGGATGAAAATTATTTTATTTTTTTATTTTTCTTCTAGTTAGATGTCGATTTAGCGGCAGCGCGAAGAGCTAAAAAATAGAAAAAGTAATCACGTAATAAAAGAACCCAGGACGAGACGAGACGGAGCCCGGGCTCGCCACGCGCTCACAGCTACGACGGTCTCTTTTTTTTTTTTTTTTTCCGCCTACCCGCTTTCCTTTCCGGGTGCTTGCCCGCGGCTTCTACTCCGCGCGTTTTTCACGCGCACTTACACTATTACTCCCGAGAAGATTAAATCCAAAGTTTCGAGGGATAAGAGCTAGCGGGGAAAAAAGATTGTCGCGCAAGCTTGGGTTTAACGAATTTCTGCGTTTTTGTTCCGAATTCTTTAATTTCGTCCGCTCCTGTGCCTTCAAAAAGAGCCCGAGTACAAAGGGTATAGAATCTTTTCATCTATTTTTTTTTTTTTTTTCTTCTTTTTATTAATAAAAGAAATGGAACTGAATGGGGGGAGAAAAAAATGAGTGAAAGAGAGGGTCTGGAGATAAAAGGTAAAAATGAGGAGCCGTCTCGAGCTGTTTGGCAAGCGAGCGAGTCACGGGTCTCTCCGTCAGGGTCTGAGTCCTTTTGGGGTTAATCAGTGCTCCGCTGTGTTAGATGTATATGCATATATATTTGAAAAAAAAAAAAATATGTATACATAGATGCTGGTATATAATGTAGCTGTATCAGTATTGCGCACACTCGAGCGATGATGTTTAATGTCTCTCTGATTGGTCGGTTGTGCCTGTTTAGAGCCACGAGGTCGGGATGAAAACCCTCGTTATGCTGGACGAGCAAGGCGGTAAGCCATTCTATCTAGCCACTCTATCTCTCTATCTCTATCTCTGTCTCTGTAAACTTAACCATTACAAACAACATAAGACACTACTTACTAATGTATATTTATCTCTGCCACATTTTTTTTTTTTTTTTTCTTTCTCCAATATAGACAAAATTCAATACAGGAAAGCACTGACATGAGAGGGTGCATAAGGTTGAATAGCAATGCATAGCTTTGTTTGCGCGAATGTGGGTCGAGTGTACATTTTTTGTTTTAAAAAACGCGTCACAATATAGTCTTCCAGTGTACCAATGGTTCTTTATTATGATGGCGCTGTTACCTTTTTTTGCCATCCACTGTTATGTGTGACTATTAAACCAATGGCATCCTCCAAAACAATAAATACAAAAGAATGTCTCGAACAATATTTGATGTAATTAAAATACTTAATAATTTTTTTTTAACTCTTTATTTGCATTTTTTTTTTCTAATCAAAAGATAGACAGTACTAAATTACATGAAATATACATGTTTCAAAGATATACAAAAGAAGTGGAGTATCGATGACAACAAATTTATAAACGTTCTGACGTCACAACATCATATCAATGTACGATTTTATCTACATGACTATGACACATTATTAGATTACGCAACGCGTAATTATAATCAACTGTGAACCCAAGGTCAATAGCATTAAACGACGAAAAATTTATTAACGTATGAAATATTAAAAAAAAATTCTGGTAACTTTAAAAAGGAAATAAAGGTGATTTACGATTTTTTTTTTTATCACATAAAGCATCTGGCATTGTAATAAGTATAATCGTCATTAATTTTTCACATTTCACTGTTTCATTACTTAAAATACTAAACTTTCTTGAGAAGATAATCAGATAAGTTGTACATATTGTTTTGAAAAATATAATAGTCCAGGTTTTCTTGGTGCATTTCAACTTCTTACTAACTCCAATAACCTTAGTTCGCAATAACTTTCCATGAAGCGGATATTACTGTTGCTTAAACTCAATCCATGTTATACTAAAAAAAAAAACAAAAAAAAACAAAAAAAAAACCTGTCAACTAAAAACAAACAAAAAAAAGTTAATATAACTCAATAATATACTAATCCATGCTCACTGACACCTTAACGGCCAACGCTCAGACCAATAACCCCATTTTTATATATATATATATTATATTTATTATATTCTATTTTACGCATCTATAAAACCTTTTGCCAACTGG